CACATCTCTCCAGATGCTCCTTAGGTGCTGCTGTAATTGTGCTTCACTGCTTCTGAGGAAGTCTGGAAAAGAGGAGGGCAGGACTTTAAATAGTGTGGGAGTGGGGAGAAGCTGGAGTGGGGAAAATTAAGGTAGTAAGCCTGCAAATGAGATTTTAGAAAACTAAAAAGGGAGAAGAGAGTATTTTTTTTCTAAATATTACATGAGAGAAAAGGGTAAATACACAAATGCTTGGTATGCAAATACTTATGTTTGATAACTACGTATTTAGAGAAAAGACCCAGTTTCATGTTAGAAGTGGGATCCTAGGAAATGTAACTGGGTTTCTTAACTTTTCATTAATTGTTATCTGTTCTGCTACTAACAGATAAGTTTCATTTAAAATATACAAGCCAAGAGAAACTAGACTCTGCCATTGATGTTAAATAATGTTTTGATATAAACATTTTTCAGTAATTGAGAATTGGCTACAACTTACATTTAATTCCACTGATAGTTTTGTTCTAGAAATCTTAAGGTAGAATGCATACCGATACCATATTACATAAGATAATAAACTAATCTCTAAATAGGTTAGTGAAATATAGTTTTGAAAGTTTCATATCTGACTTTTAAAATTAGAGACTATTACCTTGATTCATACTAAATGCTGATTTGTATATCTAAATATCTGTTGTAACAGACCTGTATTTTTACATAGTTGTAATGCGTGGCTAGGTAGATGTTCTGCCTCTCTACCTAACCTCACATAAATGTTGACACAGTGTGACCAAATGTACACAAACAGAATACCCTTCCCAGCAACAAACCCTGAAGTGACCTCAGGCTGCACTGTCGTGTTTCAACTGTACTTGTGATTTTAAGTTGGCTGTTGTAAAGAGTGCTGCTGAGAACGCCGTGATAGAGAGTTCTTGCTTTTATATTTATTGTTTGGGGTTTTAGTTTGGAAGCAGAATTTCCCATTCCAAAAAGCTGGTTAGTTTTTGTGATATGTTGGCAACCTTCTTTCTAGAGCCCATTTAAGAAGCTAGCAGGGATGGCTTACCTTCCAAGATGCATATGCATGTATAAATTGCACTATAATTGGAATCTTCCTAGTTGTACCAATATGCATATTGTTTTTTATTTTTATCTTTTCTGAAAATTGAGTGTTATTAGTTATGGAATGTGGTGTATTGTAGTAGATGTGGAAACTCACTGTAGTATGTGCTCAGCTCAAAGGACTTTGTGTTATGGACTGATGTGATATGGTAAGGGAACACTAAACCAAGAAAATAGTGTGAAAATTGGTCATAAAGAGTATTCTTAGTACCTGGTAGGGGCAGGCCTGAAGTGCCTCCACAGTGACATGTAATATGGTGCAGTTCTTGCAAGATTCCCACATTGGAGGGCGGGTTAGGAACATGAACCTTCTAAAATGATTGTGTGAAAAGCAAGCCCAGATGAACTGAAAATGGAATAATCTTAAAAGAGACATAAATATTACAGGAATAAAATGATTATAAGTATAACATAGCATGGCAATATTAAAAACAAAACTTTTTTCAGTCACAAAAGATTTTCTAGAAATAAAAATCATTACTGAAATTTTAAACCATGGATAAGTAAAGTAGACTTAACACTTGCTGGAGAATGGGGCTGGAGAGATGGGTTAGTGATTAGGCACACTTCATCCTCTTCCAATGTTGGGTAGCTCACGATCACCTATAATTCCAACTCCAGGAGCTCTGACACCCTCTTCTGGCCTCTGTGGGCTCTCTCTCTCTCTCTCTCTCTCTCTCTCTCTCTCTGTGCTCTCTCTCTCTCTCTCTCTCTCTCTCTCTCTCTCTCTCTCTCTCATACACACACACACACACACACACACACACACACTCCTAAAAAACAAACCGGAGAAGCAGGCGGCATGGTAGCTCATGCTTGTGGTCCTTGTATTCTGGAGGTTGAGTTTGGAGGACTATCCTAGGTTTGTAAGTTTGGGCTACATAGTAAGTCCTATGCTAGCCAGAGCTACTGTTGGAGACCTTGCCTCAACACACACACACAACTGCAGAAATCTGATTATAGTGAAAGATAAGAAAAATAGGAAAAAGTAGGCCAAGGTTAGAGAAGAAAATATCCAGAGGAAGTCCAAAAAGAATTGCTGAGTAAAAAGAACAAGGACCAAGGCAATGAGTAATAGATTTCTAGAATTCAAGAAAAGCCTGAATCTAAAGAATAAGGAAGCTTACCAAATCTTGAACAAAATAAACGAAATAAAGACAGATTAGCGCAAAGGAATGAGTTAGATTGACAACTGACTGCTCATCACAAGTGCCAGGATAAAAAGTAGTAGTAGCTCCATGAGTGGGTCATGTCCACTGAGTTCTATGTTAATTCAACAGCTACTGAAGGGGCAAACTCTTCATGAAGATGGAAGAGTTCTGAACCTATGCTTACTCAGTAATAGCCTAAAACTGTAGAAATGAAAGTTAGCATTTTATAAGGAGTCATTTGGGAAAGCTTAATATATTTCTGTCAAATTGGTTGAGTAGGCTAAAATGAGTAAAATGAAAGATTATTAAAAAAATTAAAAACTTGGTTTGACTATATCCGTTTTACCCAATGCAATGCATTTTATACAGTATTTTTGATAATATCTGTAAGAGTCACAAACTGACCTTGTAGTAAATAGAGGAGGTACTCAAATGCAGAAAGAATTTAAAAATTAGCATTTCACCTATAGACATAAAACTCTTCTTACATTTGAAAATTTAAAATTGGGGCTGGAACAGCATTGGCTGCTCTTGGCAGAGGACCCAGGTGTGGGGTTCCCAGCACCCACATGGTGACTCACAACCCTCTGTAACTCCAGTTCCAGGGGAATCTGATTCCCTCTTCTGACCTCTACAGGCATTGCAGGAGATGGATGCACTTATACACATGCAGGCAGTACACTCATACACATAAAATAAAAAGTAATAAAATATTTAAAAAATAAAGTAAAAAGAACACTTGACTGCTCTTGCAGTGGACCTGGGTTCAGTTCTCAGCACCCACGTGGTAGCTAACAGCCATCTGTGACTCCAGTTCCAGGGTACCCGATGCCACCATTTGATCTCTGCAGGCACAGAATGCACATAGTGTACTACATACATGCAGTCAAGACACTCATGCACATAAAAAAATGTTATTTTTAAAAAGAAAATCTAAAGTGGAAAAACAGTAACGTAAAGCATTTGGTGATTATAAATCATGGTCAGAAGCTGAACAGTAAGAGACATAGATACAGATTCTGAAGTTGTAATCAGGCGCATGGCTTGCCTGAGGCAGGAGGATCATGGAGAATTTGAAGCCAGCCCAGGCTGTATAATGAGTTCCAGGCCATCTTGGGCAAAATGTGAGAACCTATCTCAAAAAACCAAAAATCCAAAATAACAGTAAATAAAAACCCTAAGCCACTGAAGTAATTAAAAAATTAGAAAATGGTGTGCCTTTGAATGTAAGGCAAGCTTTATTTCCCCCTTAAGATAAAGGGAAACAGTTGTGTTTTAGGAAGCTTTTCTACCTTCATTTTGAACATGAGAGTTCTGTTTAAGGAAGGTGTATCAACTTGAAACCAAAACCCCTTTAGTTCAGGTTTGGAAAGCTCACAGGGTAATCATGAGAAATTGGTAAAGACATCTAGAACAGATTTGATTGCTGCTCTTGCAGAGGATGACGGTTCAGTTCGCAGTACTCACATGGCAGGTCACAACCATCTGCAGCTCCAGTTCCAGGGGATTTGAGGACGCCTCTTCTTGGGGAACTAGGCATACACACGGTGCACATGCATACATGCAGGCAAATCTCTCTGTCTTAGACACATACACACACACACACACACACACACACACACACACACAATCTAAAATTATCCAACAGTTACAGTGTAGATAGTGTTACAAATCACCATAGTACAAAATTTTTACAGACCACTAGTTCAAATATGTATAGTTGTGACTTGAGATAATGTGGGACTGTGGGTAAATCCCTTGACGCACAAACAAGCATGCGAACTGATTCATGATAGGATCTGAACTAGGGGAAAGTGATGGAAAGTGATGTAGAAAAGTTGGTCTGTCAGGTCGTAAAAGTAGGGAAGTTAGATTGGAAATAGGCTAGAAAAGTTGAGAGATGAAGGATTTAGCTTCTAGCTGAAGGCTATTGCCCAGTTATTCAGATTAAAATAAAATTCAAAATTCACAAAACTCTGGAGGAAGTTATCTGTATAGAGAGGTTTATTATGTGCTTGAATAAAATTTATAGAGATGACCTTATTGTAGTGTGTATTAATTTAGCTGATGCTACTAATATCTTGGCAGAGCTGTTATCTAGGTTATCTAGCTTACTATCTAGGTAAGCTTAATTTTTTATTTTTTATTTTAAGTGTATGAGTATTGCTTACATGTATGAAAGTGCACCCATGTTGTACATTGCCTACATAGGTCATAGGTCAGAAGAGGGCATCGGATCCCCTGGAACTGGAATTAGGATGGTTGTTAGCTGCCATGTGGGTGTTGGGAATCAAACCCAGGTCCTCTGCAAGAGCACCAGTGCTATTAACCACTGAACCTTCTATTAAGCCTTGCTTATTTTTAATGTAGCTAATACAACACTTAAATTGGATTACTTTCTTTTTCCTCCATAGCTAATAATGATTAAGGATTTTAGATCTTTTGGTAGATGTGTCAGGACAAACTCAATTGTGTTCTATCTTTTTTAGTGAGACTGTTTACCCTAAGACAACATGATGGTCTGTCCTTATTAAAATTTGTTGCCTTAGTGGGAGAAGATATGGTTTAACGTTGGTCTTCAAGACAGTTCTCAATTTCAGTGGAGGCCATTAGGCTTGCTGGTGAGCCAAGCACATGTGTTATTGTGCAGAACTGCCTTACATACCTCAGGTGAATAAGCTACTGTATATTTTTCTCAGATTTTCCAATTTCAGGAAGTAAAACTAACTTCAGCAAATCTTTTTGCAGATCACATTGATCAGGATTCCTTGTCATGTTTGACAGTACAGAATAAAGGTTGGAAGCATCCTTGGGTCTTAGCACTGGAATCTACCCTTCACTTTTGCTGTCCCTTTCCTACGAGGCAGGTACGTGGAGGAACCTGTAGAGCAGTCAGCCTCTGGCTCCTTAGCAGTCACGCTTTCCTGCTGTGCTCCCTGTAACTAAAAGCTGTAGTAGATCAGCATACTGTATGCTGTGTTAGTCGAGATGTGTGGTGTTTTCAGTTCTGTGTATTAAGCTTTTGAGGGAATGTAAAGTGCTAGTAAAAGGCATCGAGAGAACATGGTGTTGTCGCCTTTAACCCTTTTTATCTTGATCTCTGCATGTATTGCTAAAATCCTTAAATAAAAGGTAATAAATTATGCTTTCTTTTTCTTTAATAGGTGAGAACAGTTTATAGAAGTGAAGAATTCTTAAAGAAGGTAACAAAAAAGAAAAGGAAAATGCCTAAACCAGTAAGTGTACTTCGCTACTTTTCATACTACTTAGTTTTATGTGTGTGGAGAATAGTCATGGGTTGTAGTTAAGCCTGAAATTCATGAATTCTGAGATCAAACTGTCTTTATTTTTATTCTGGTTCTCCTATTTAATCTGGGGGAAGTTTTGTTAGTCTATTTTGCTCTCAATTCCCTTTATATAAAATGGGGATATGATTATTTAATTTCCTCAGGGAGCGTGGTAAAGATTTTATATGAATCTGATATACATTCAGTGCCCAGTAAATGTAACTTACTGTTTGGAGAGAAGAGTGAGAGGTCTAGAGGACTCATGCCTGTGCATTTTCCCAGAATTCCAGCTCTGCACAGATGCTGGTGATACCTTAGATCTGTATTCCTGTGTCATTTTCTTGTAGAATTACATACTGCTTCCTGACTAAGATTCATTCTTTTTCTTCACCTAATGAAACGAGTATTTTCGTCAGTGTTTCTTTTGGTTAATTGTGTATATCGCAAGCTGGCCTTGAATTCATAATCCTCCTCCCTTAGCTTCCTCAGTGCTGGGATTAAGATACTACAGGTGGACTGGAGCCTTCGTTCAGCAGTTAAAAGAACAAACTGATTTGCAGAGGACATGAGTTTGATTTCCAGCACCCATGTGAGGCAGCTAACAGTCTCCTATAACTCTAGCTCCAGGGGGATCTGCTGTGGGTGCTGGCATTCACATGCAGATACCCCCACACATAGACCCTCACACATACACATAATTTTAAAAAGTAATCTTTTTTGCTGTTTTTATTTTTTTTGAGATAGGGTCTCCCTGTAGCCCTAGCTGACCTGGAACTCATCATGTAGACCAGGCTGGCCTTGAGTTTACAGAGATCTGCCTGCCTCTGCCTCCCAAGTGCTGGGATTAAAGGCGTGCACCACCATGCCAGGCAAAAGCAAAAACTTTTTAAAAAGTTATTACAAGTGTGTGCCACTATGCCTGGTCCAATTATATTTTTAAAGAAAACTTTGGTTATTAGTCACTGTAGAGTAACTGTCAGTGTCAGCAGGCTAGGAGTGGCAGAGATGGCTCAGTGGTTAAGAGCACTGACTGCTTTTGCAGAGGACCTGGTTTTGGTTCCCAGCACCCATGTTGGACAGCTCACAACTGACTGTAACCCTAGCTCCAAGGGATCTAACACTTTTTAGTACTCCAAGTGTACCTGCATGCATGTAGTACACATACTTACACAGACATGCACAGATGCATTCTTTTTGTATTTTTTTGATATAATATTATTAATTCTTCTAGGATTTTGTACAATGTATTTTGGTCATATTCGTCTCCCCACTCCTTCTCTCGAACTCTTCTAGGATCCACTCTTAACCACTCCCCCTCCCAACTTTGTATCCTCTTACTTTCTTAGTAACTTACTGAGTTCAGATTGTCCTGCCCATATACTCATGGGTGTAGGGCTGTCCACTGGGTTGAGATAGACATACTAGGAGGCATACCCTTAAAGAAAATGGATGGTCCCTCCCCAAGAAGCTGTCAGCTGTCAATAGCTTCTCAGTAAGGAGCTCCTCCATGCTCCTTATAGAATGTTTGTTGGCTTGATCTTGTGTAGGTGTTGTGTAGGCAACCAGAGCTCCTTTGAGTTCCCGAGTACAGTAGCCTTGTCATGTCCAAAAGGTGCTGTTTTTCTCTGGTCCTCCCTGAACTCTGGTTCTTAAAATGTTTCCATTTCCTTTTCCAAAATGGCTCCTGAGCTTTTGTGACTGAGCACTCCACTGACACTTATTTTCTGTACTTTGACCAGTTGTGAATTGCTGTGTTAACCACTGTCCACTGCACAAACTTCTGTGATGAAGTTTGAGATTTGTACTAATCTATAGGTATAAGGATATGAATTTAGAGGGCAGTTTGATGCTATGCCCATTTAGCAGAATAATAGTAGTATATTAACCCCAAGGGCCAGAGTTCTCTAACCCTGGGTTCTTTGTCAGATTTACAGTGCCAAAAGTTTTTAGGTTAGTATATTGTCACTGTTTCTTTCCCCACATGCCTTAATAACAAGAATGCTCTTTTCAAAACACAAAAGCATAGAGGAATTCAGTTTCACTTCCATATTTTATAGTGATTCTGCTGACCCAGTTTTCTACTTAGTATAATGTGACCTGATCAAGTCATAACTTCTGTAAACTGTAATTATTATTATTATTGTTATTATTTAAGGCAGGGTCTCAACTATGTAGCCCTGGCCTAGAGAGAACTCACTATGTAGAACAGGCTGGCCTTGAATTCACAGATATCTGCCTGCCTGTCTCCTGATTGCCAGGATTTAAAGTTGTGCAGCTCCATGACTAGCCCCCTTATTTTTAATGTTAATCTTGATTTCATAATAGGAATTTTATTACCTCAGAGGTCTAAGTTCCATTTTTATTTTTCACAGTCTTATTTATTAACTGATAGTGGTTTCTTTTAAGTTAAAGTCTTAGAATTTTTGTCAGCTTTAATTTCTAATTTGATAAATATAACTCATAAATGAAAACTTTTCTGAGTGCTTTTGAATTTTTTTTTTTTTTTTTTTTTTTTTTTGGTCTTTTTGAGACAGGGTCTTCTTGTAGCCTCAGCTGGCCTGGATCTCACTCTGTAGACCAGGCTGGCCTTGAACTCACAAAGATCTGCCTACTTCTGCATCCCTAGTGCTGAGTGTTGGGATTGAAGGCATGTGCCACCATACCCAGCCTGAGTGCTTTTGATTTTTAAGAGTGTAACAAGAACTTGAGCCCAAGAGGTTTGAGAGCATCCAGGCTAGCCTCTAGTCATTGTTACTTGTAGTTAAAGTTGTCGCATTGCTGTTCCAGCCAGCGGGAAGAGCGGACAGAGCATAGGGAAGCGTGCCTGCTGTTATATGATGCTGATAGGTGAAGGAGTGGTCTAGATCGCTAATGCCGGTGCAGGAATGGCCTAGATCCCTAATGCCATGTTCTCCCAGTGAGTCACTAGTTTCAAGAGACACTAGCTCAGCAGCTCCATGCCCAGCTATAATTTTGATAGCTGTTGGTAGTCAAACAACAGCATTATCTGCTATGTTTGTGATTAGTGTAGGAGAGAAAAATCACCATAAATTTAGAACAATTTCTGAAGCAGAACAACCACTTAAGATCTCAGAAATAAAAACTGACTCTCTTGCTAGATCTAGGAAGAAAGCCTACAGTGAAAGCTGTTCTAAATGTGTCAATGGTGGAAACTCTTTTTACAGTCAGGAGCTAGAGCTATGTACATCATTGCTTCTGTTCAACCTTAGATAGAAAAAAAGAAACCAAAAGCTAGGAACTAGAAAGAAACACTGAAAATACTGAGAATATTTACATTGATGTTGCAAGTTAGTTGTCCACTAGCCAAATGCTAGTCAACTAACTACCTGTTCTACTGCCCACCAGCTAAGAATGATATTTTTACATTTTCAGTGGTTGAAAAGAAGTTTTTTTAACTCATGAAATTCAGATTTCAGTGATGATAGTAAAGTTTTATCAGAATACAGCGTGTTCAGGTGTTTATTATCTGTGTTGGTTTGTTGCTAGAGTGGCCGAGGTGAGTAAATGTGGACCTGTCTTTACTGTAGCTGATAAAAAAAAAACCAAAAACCAAAAAAGAAACACAAAAAACATAGTGATCAAGGGAAAAATATCTTAATAGATGATTATTATGATTTTTTTTTTGGAAAAAATTATAAACAGTCTCTTGCCAAAAAGACATTAAAAAAAAAAAAAAGCAAAAAACCCTAAGTCTGTGTAGAGGGAGCTATAGTGATGAACAGAAAAATGGAAAGGGGTCAGCTCAACCCCAAGCCTGGGGAATTTATGAAGTTGCATTGCTAAGTCACAATGGGATTCGATTTTACATGGAGGAAGTGTAAAGATGAAGAACCAAGATTAGCCACAAAAGTTGTGAAGAATGTGGGGAGGTGTGCTATAGTAATTAAGACAGTAGGTACTCAGTGAATCATTAAATTGACCATTGTATAGACACTTGATTTATGATAGAGCATTCTTTTGGGAGTCAATTAACTTTATTAGTTACATTTGGAATTCTAAAGTTTCTGTGTTATCCTTATGGGAACTTAGAAATGAAATAGAATTTCTGTCTTGTCATAAGCAAAAATTGTCAAAGACCAATTATAAGAAACTTTTGAGAGTGCTGGGTGTGGTAGAGCACTTCTTTAATTCCAGCACTCAGGAGGCAGAGGTGAGCAGATCTCTCTCTATTGAGTTTCCAGCACAGCCTGGTCTACATAGTGAGTTACAGGCTAGCCAGAGCTGCATAGTGAGACCCTGTCTCAAAACAAAACAAAACAAATAAACCAAAACAAAACATGACCAACCCTCTAAGATGTATAATAGACAAAATATAGAATATCTTCTGGCTCTAGAATAGGGAGGGATTTCTTAAAAATGGCAAAAAATTCATATTTATATAAAGAATTGATGAATTCAACATTAAAATAAGGAATATCTGTTTCTCATAAAGCCACCATACAGAAAGTAGAATGACAAGCCACAAACTGGAGATTTAAAAAAAAATATTTTCTTTATTTTTATTTCATGTGTATAAGTGTGTGGCCTGCATGTACATAAGTGCACCCGTGTCATGCCTGCACGTACGTAAGTGCACCTGTGTCATGCAGTACCTGTGGAGGCCAGAACACGGCATTGGATCCCTTGAAAGTGGAATTTCAGACAGTTGTTAGCTGCCATGTGGGTGCTGGGATTCAAATCTGGGTCCTCTGCAGCCAGTGCTCTTAACTGCTGAGCCATCTCTTCAGCCCCCACTTTATTTTTAAATGAAACAAGTAATTAACAAGGAATTAGTACTGGGAGCTGGGCATCATGGTATACTCAGCTAAGCTGAGGCAATAGGCTCACAAGTTCTAAGACTAGTGTCTCAAATGTTATAAAGACCTTCTAGATAATAGAAAGGAAAAAAGCAAAAGCAGCCACAAAACTGCATAACAGAAGAAAAAGACGGATGTGAATAGACAGGTGAGACAGTGATTTCAAAAGTGTGTGGTATGTGTTTTCCATCTTTCTGTAGCAAATTAACTACAACTTTGGTATCTGAAAATAACACCCATTTACTATGTCTCAGTGGGACTGGTTCTCTGCTTGGGGTCTTCAAAGGCAGATGCTTGTCAGCCCTGTTCTCATGTAGAGGTTGACCTCTTCCAGGTTCTTTATTGTTACAGACATGGTTCATTGCTGTGCAGAATGAGCCACTCTTTACCAAAGGACACAGTCCTCATATTTCTGCTGGCTGTTGGTCCAGGGCCACCGATACTTCCTAGAGGCTAGTTACAGTTCCTTGTCCCCTTCTCTTCAGGAATGGATGACCCATGTGTCAGATTTCTTTCACAATTTTAAATCACTCTGACCGGTTTTGAAATCAACCAGAGAAATCATTTGCTTGTTTTAAAATTAAGTTTTGCTGGGCATGGTGGTGTGCCAGCACTCGGGAGCCAGCGGAAGGCAGATTTCTGTAAGATCTAGGCCAGCCTGGTCTACACAGTGAGTTCTAGACCAGCGCCAGCTACAGGGAGACCCTGTCTCAAGCCAAAGAATACGGAGTTTTGTCATGACACCTTTAAACCTATGTGTCACGTGTCACACTTAGTTCTCATTCCTTCCTCTCCCTACTGTCCTCACTTGTGTCCCTCCTCCTCTAGCTAGTTCCCTTGCCTGCTTCAGTTAGGCCCCTCTTCTTATCCACATGGATTCCATTGTCCCATTCCCACCTCCCTTAAGAGCCCTTCCTTCCATAATCTCCTTCCTACGCACACATACATAACTATATCAGATAGATATAAGGACACCACACACACATACACGTACATGTACTTATTATATTTGTGTTTGAATCTGGCTTATTTTGTTCAGCATGATGATTTCCAGTTGCCTTCATTTCCCTGCGTATACAATTTAAATTTTCCTTTATGACTGCATAAAATTCCATTATGTATACCATATTTTTATCCATTTGTTCAAAGATACCTATACTTGTTCCTTTTCCTGGATATTGTGATGGTGCAGCAGGCGATATGGGTGTACAAATATCTCTGTTTGCTTAGCGCCCTTCAGGTATCTGTAGAGCAGTGAGGCTGGATCACATGCTATTCTAAGTTTTTTGAGGAACAGTGACTGCACCAGTTTACATTCTCACCAGCAGTAAATAAGGATTACTTTTCTCCCACATCCTAACCAGCATTTGTTGTCATTTGTATTCTTGATGACAGTCAATAAATTTAATTATGATGCAAATAACAGGTTTCCTTATGGCATTTTCATGCATACATTTTATAATGAAGAAATCTGGGTGACATTCAAAGAATCAGGAGTTCTTCAGTTTGAATTTTTTTTCTATTTGATATTCCTGTGTCCTTATGGAAGTGGCTTCTCTTCTTCCATTATGTGGGTTCTGGCATTGGAACTCAGGTTGTCAGGCTTGGCAGCAAGTGCCTGACCTTACTCAGTGAGCCAGCTCACCAGCTCTCCAGTAGTTACTTTAAATGAGAGCTTCACAAGCTTTTTTTTTTTTTTTTTTTTAAATGTTTTGAGGTTTTTCGGTAATGAAAATCAAGCTGTATCACTTTTAATCAGATGCTAGTGGGGGTGCCTGAAGATCTGTATAGAGCAGTCGCCGATCATGCTGAGGCCCTTTGTTCATTTCCTTGTATTGTGACCTCCCCACCTCCATAAAAAAACGTATTGAACTGTGCGTGTGTGTGTATGCCTGTCATCCAGCAGTGGGGAGTGTGCTGAGGCAGGAGCATTGCAAGCAGGCCAGCCTGAGTAACATAAGACCTTATCTCAAAAACAAAAAACAAAACAAAACAAAAAAGGGCTGGGGATATAGCCCAGCTTCCTTGCCTGGTACACACAAAGTCCTGAATTTGATCCCCAGCATCCTAGCCCACAAAATTATTGTAAATCAAAGTATTTTGTCATGTTTACTACTTAGTAAATAGATTATTCTCTTTCCTAATCACTATCTCTTTTGGTTTTATTACAGATCAATGTAAGAGTAACTACTATGGATGCTGAGCTAGAATTTGCCATTCAGCCCAATACAACTGGCAAACAACTTTTTGATCAGGTATCATTTAACCCCATGAAACGTGAAACTGTACATGTGGCGTATGCACATGTGTCTGTGTGTCTGTGGGAGGGTACACACACTGAGGCCAGTGGTGGGGCACTGAGCCACTATCAGGATCTGTCACTGAACCTGGAGTCAGGCTGGTGGGCAGTAATCCACAGCAGTCCTCTAGTCTGCACCCTTCAACTCGGGGGTTACCATTGTGAGTGGACACATCCAATTTGTTACGTGGGTTCAGGAATACAAACTCAGGTCCTCATGTGCACAGCAGGCACTCTTAACCACTGAGCTATCTCTCAGTCCCAAAGCATGCAACTTATGACATCATTATGTCATGATACTAATTCCTATACCTTCATCGATAATCAAACAAGGTAGCACTTAGAAAGAAATTTTGACTGTACCTCTTCAGACTGTTTGAATAACTATAGGGATATTTATATGTTCTCATTTCTACTTTTGTGGAAATAGAACATAAATGAATTTTTTAAAAACATTCTTAAAGCATAAAGGGGGCAGCAAGATGCTCAGCAGGTGCAGGCTGCCAAGTCTGATGACCTGAGTTCGGTCTCTGAGACTCACATGGTGGAAGGGAGAACTGACTCCTGCAAGTTGTCCTCTGTCCTCCATGTGCATGCTGTAGCTCTTGCACACCCCTCCCCAAGTGAACTTTTTAAAAGCATAGAAATTGTACATAATCTAGTATCTCACTACATACATATGGTGTGTGATGTTTAAGTTAGGTTAATCATGTCATTTATGTCTTTATGGTGAAAATATTAAAAATTCTTCTAACATTTTGAATTATATAGTACACTATTGTTTTTATTCACCTTACAATGTCATAGCAAATGATGACTTTTTACTTCTGTATAGTTAACTATAATGTAGAACCCATTGACCAACCCTCTCTGGGTGTTTAATTTATTGTTTTTACTTGTGGTACTAAAATAGAGTATTTATGTATTCATGGACTCAGTGAGTATACAAGATTTTGTAGGGTGAAAGAAGTAGTAAAATGTTTGTATGTTTGTATTTTTTATCTTTCTTCTTCCCAAGTCTCTTAAAATCTATGCTTTATTGTTTATGAACATGTTTTTGAATATTTATAAATTCTTCTGTTGTAGTTATGCTCCTAGCAAGCTACTCTATTGCAAAGCTTTTTGACCAGGTAGTTGAAAGGATGTTAGGTAAGAAACAGAAGTGCAGAATAAATGACTCTTGGACAGACTCATCCTGACCCAGGATATTTTGGCTATGGATCTGCAGTTCCCACCTTCCACTCTGTCTTGTAGAATCTTCAACAGAGCCGTGGCTTTCTTCCCTGGGAACTTTAGTTTATACTATTTATTCTGTCAAAGACATGGATATCAAGATGATTAAAATAATAATCTTTGTCCTTACATGCTATATGGTGAAAGACACTATAACCCAGCTAATGATGATAAAGTATGCTAATATCCAGATAAAATATTATGGAACCTCAACAACTGGTGAATTTTATCTTTATGATAGAAGGTTTATTCACCAAAGGATTTTAGTTGAGCCGAGCTTTTAAGAATAGATTATTCAACAGGTGATAAAGGTGCAGAAGAAGTAGTCTAGGTAAAAACTTGAGAAAAGATGTAGAAAGGTGAAATTTCTGGTATTTCCAAGAATTGCTTCTTCTCAGTGAAGGTGGAGCCCTGAGTCCACCAGAGAGGTGCACATTGCCCTGGATGCTGATGGGGTGCCTGCAGGAACAGACTGAAATAGGAATGTAGGCTTATGACAGCTGTTTTTTATTCTTTAGACTTATTCTTTTATTTTTTGAGGTTGTGGTGTGAGCTGAAGAAAATAAAGAAGATTGACGTGACATTATAGAATTGAGTATGGAAAACCCACATTGAAGTTTCAAGAAATGTTCTTTGAATATATTAAAAAGAATATGCTAAAAGAAAATCTTTTCTGTGGTGAAGGGATGTCTTTTATACCTATACAGTTGTGATGTATAATGTGCAGTGTCATCTAATTATAATGTGAATGTTGAACTAAATTGGTTTATCCATTTTTTAGGTAGTAAAGACAGTTGGTTTACGTGAGGTGTGGTTTTTTGGGCTGCAGTATGTAGACAGCAAAGGTTATTCTACATGGCTTAAATTGAATAAAAAGGTAAGATGTGTATAATAATATTAAGCTAATAGCTCAATTAATTTGATGTATTTCTGAATTTGGGCTGCAAAAGCTCAGGGTTTTACTAGTGCCAAGCTTTGTTGACTGCTGAGCTATCCTCCAGCCCAGCAGCTGTTTCTTAACCATTGCAGCTGTCACGCCTTTTATTCATTTAGGCACAATGAAGTATTATTTTAATTAAAAAAAATTTTTTTTAATTTTTATTTTATGTGGATGAGTGTTATGCCTGCACGCAGGTAAGTGCACCCTTGTCATGCAATGCCCGCAGAGGACAGAAGAGGCCGTCAGATCCAGTTGTTAGCTGCCATGTGGGTGCTGGGATTCGAACCCGGGTCTTCTCTAAGAACAGTCAGTGTTCTTAACTGCTGAGCCATCTCTCCAGCCCCAGAAGTATTATTTTAAAGCAGGTATTAATTTAAGCATCTGAAGGTAAGTTCCAGAATGCAGAGAAGTTTTCAGTTTGGCTGTTGTAGGCAAACTGAAGGGTCACATGCAGCCTCCGCAGCATGTTTGTTTATAGATTGAAAATCTTACT